TTGGTGCTGTGACGTGGTTAGTCAGGCCATGGGGTGACTAGGTTCAGAGTTACAGTTTACAGTAGGAGGTATTACATGTCCTGCACACAAACACACACACACACACACACACACACACACACACACATAACATAGCATTAGGTGAGGTTTAGGTGTGCTCCAGTTGAGCTTTAGGTAAGTGGATGAGAGTCTGGTGAAAGCAGGAGTCCATGGATTAGCTTTAAAGCCGCCATAACTAGCCCCTACGAGCGCGCGCACACACACACACACACACACACACACACACACACACACACACACACACACACACACACACACACGTGTACACACCCTCCAGACAACTATCCCTGTGCTGAGAGGATTTTACTTCTTCATCTATTCTGGTTAAGGCCTCTGTTATTCTGGACAAAAGTCTGCTTTGCATAACAATCCTCTGTATTTATCCCAAAGAGTGCACGCACACACACACACACACACTCCTTTCATAAACATCCTGATGACTCATGAATGACCTCCTGTTTTTTGTAAATCATGGCAGAGGATTACTGCAGGTTCACTAACATCCAGTACACAACACAACCAAACGGGATCAGCAGAATTAATGCCGGGATTTGTTACAAAGAAAGCCAGCGTGACACTTTTCCAGGAGTTGCTATGGGAACCATAAATGAGAAGAAAAAAGTATTTTACCCAGTGAAAATGTTATTAAGATAACAAGTGAAATGTTTCCACCTCCGAAGTGTTCAACACTACCAAGAAACAAAGCAGATTTGGAAATGGAAAATCCACCAAACAGCCGATGTCATCCACAGGTAATGTTTCTTCTTTGATTTGTCGAGAATTTAAATTTGGAAAAAAGAGCAACTATCTCCTAAATGATGAAGCTGGAACATTGTGAGTCAATAAAAAGTGTAAGTAGAAAGTAGAATTAGGTATGATGTCAAACTCAAAAGGAAGTTTGACAAAAGATTGTCAATACTTTGAAATCATACAGAATTGTCAATACACTAACAAATACTTTGACTTTTAGAGCTTTTGTTGGTTGATTATCGGAAATTTGATTCATAAAGAGTTGATTGGACTTTTTTGAAACTCCTGCTATACATTGAAAGTTTTGAGAATGATACAACACATAACAGCATGGTGTAGATTGGGGGGTCAGGGGTCAGGCCTCCCTCACTAATTATAACGATAGACTGTATAATAATAATAACACATACATTGGTCCCCCCAATAACAACACAGAAGTCTCAAAGAACATTTACATAGGAGACCTGCTACAGGGTCTGAACATACAAGTGGATGTAGCATCGTAGAGGATTGGTTACAGACTGTTGGTTGGCTTTATGATTTGAGGTTAGCATTGTGACCATAGGTATCTTCTTTTTTCTGACGAGACAGGGTTGACCATTCTGGAAAAAGAGGGCAAAGCTTGAGATTAGCAGAGTGGACAAAGCCAATTCATCAAAGCTGTTCATCTAGTGTATCCCGCTAGTATGTTAGCTTGCTAATTTGATATTTTAACACAGAGTTTTTTGAGTGGAAGTCATTGTAGTTGCAGCTGGCTAGAGTTTGTTAAGCTCTCTCACATACTGAATGTTCTAGGTAACCTAAAACAACTGTTCTTTTCTCTAACATGTGAAACCCAGAACAGGTCAACAAGTAATTGACTTTCAAACACCACAAATGGAGCACAGTCTTCTTGGACTCAAAGACGCCCCAACAAGACAAAAACAGCCAAGATGAGGAATCACAGTTGGTGCCAGCCACCTGTCACTTAGATTAGCTTTGCATGACTTAAACCCTTAATTCAATTTGAGGAGTTGTATAAAAAATGCAGCCTCTGTAAAGTTGTTTCAATTGGGAACTAAGTAATGGATAACGAGGTCATTTCTGCTGAACGTTGGGCATTTTGATTTAAGCCTCAGTGGGGACTTACTCACTATTGGAACAAGCCCAAAATGGCCAATCAAGGAAGCACATGTAATGGCAAAACTGCAAGATGGTAGCTGTGATGGCATTTGCTTTAATCATGCCATCTGAAGTTAGAAGCTTTCAGACCGTTAAACTAGACGCCTTACTGGAAACAGAGTTAGCTTTAGTATTAAAGCTATATGTTCAGAGGAGGTGCAGATGCAGGACATATACTGACAATTCCTGCTTTCTTTGGATGTTAGAGTACTCTCTTTTTATTTACCACATAGCAGACTTACCGCCATACTGACAAGTACATTTCACTTAGGAAGAATGAAAAGTGCTTAAGAAGCTTTGTTTTGTGGTTCAGGGTGAAGAGCTGGATTTGTTTGTTCTGTTTGTGTAAAAATTGGTTTAAGTGTTTTTTTCACCATTTTGCATTCATTGGTCAGCGTCCTTTGAAGAGAGGGGGAAACATGGGAGAGAGAGAGAGAGAGAGAGAGAGAGAGAGTGCAATGATGACAGGCTGCAAAGGGCCAGCCAGGGTTGAAATACTTTACTTGATTGAAAAGGGGCTAAATCTTGGCCTTACTGTTTCAGTTGGTGCATTTTAGCCATGGATTTCCAAATAATCCTCTAAAATTTCAGTCAGGACTTTGCACATCACCCAGGAGGATTAGTGTGTTCCTCATGTTGTCGACTTGGGAGATTTCACTGCACACAAAAAAAAGAGGTAGACAAATGAATATTCAAAACATTTTGATGTGGGGTGTTTAATTACACAAACAAAATTGAGATCTTAAGTCAATTAACAACCCAGTGTGGGGCGGTGTCGTGGCGTCCGGGTCATCCTGGGTCTGTCGGAGAACATACAGAGTTTAGATGAAGGCTCACTGGCCGAGTGACCACAAACACAGCTCTCCCTGTGAAATTCCACCGTCAATAGGGGCTTTTTCCAGGCCCGGCGTACCACAACCCGCTGAAGACCTTGTGTTGACAGTATTTGCAGAGACTGAGACAGATTTGTACTGCTTGAAATGTTCCTATTCTGTGTCTCGAGAAAAGGATGTTAGTGGCCGCAAAATGTGCTGCATGCATGAGAGTAATAATGATCAGACATTTTCACCTTATAGTAAGTAAGGATGAGAAAATCCTGTACATGTAAACAAACGATTAAAGCAACATAAAGCCTTTTAAGGGGCAGGAAATGTTGGATGTTACAGTTCTAGAGTGCTTGCTATAAACAGGAGAGGGAAATATTGATAGAAGTTGTAATCATGATAACCACGGATGCTCACAGTCACATGTGTGTAGTTGGAAAGAGTGCCAGCAACAGAAACTGAAGCGTCATGAAGAGTAACATCTAGAGAGACCAGTAAGTTAACCATTCTGTATGATGGGAAGGTGGTGGCTGGAAAGACAAAGAACAAAAGGAAAGATTACTGCATGTTACAGTAACTGGATACCTCAGCAGATCATCCAGGACATGAGATAAGAGTTGTGTGAGATGTTAGGGATACACATTCAGTCAATAGCTGAGCCCTTCCAAATCATTTAATAGACCATAAAGGGACCTTTGATTGCAACTGCCCTGCCCACACTCACTAGGGTTGAAGGGGTCCAAATGCACTTTGGGAAATTTTTCGAGCACTACTTTCCCTCTTTCCATTAGTTGAAGATGCAACTTTTCCACGGCTCACATTTCCAACCTTTCAGGTGTGAGAGTGGTGCTTTCAAGGAACACAAATACTGTAAATCATCTGATCCATTCATATTTATATAAGAGGCAAAAACAAACAAAGCTGTGTGTGTGTGTGTGTGTGTGTGTGTGTGTGTGTGTTCATTCTCTCTGCCTTCATTCCTACCACCATACAGGAAGCCTCAGCTCAATGTGATATTTGCTAAAGAGTGCAGCGCCATCTTCTGGTGAAAAATAAATGTTACACTTATTGAGACTTGCTTGAGAGTCAGGACAACCAGTTGATGGCTTGTTTTTATTTGTTTCAGTGCTTCAGTCTGTGTTACATCAAAAGAGTAGGAAGATAAAGTATAACAGGCTAATGGTTCTTCTCTTTCAATTTTTACAATTTAAAAACATAATTGAAAATGACACCAGCAGTAAACGTGTAACATAAACGCTGGTTAGGAACTGATTGATTATGTTACTGATGTTGTTTTGGAATTTGGAATTTCAGATCATAAAGGTGAGAAGGGATACATGTAAACTTTTTACTGCCTTTTTTAGAGTCAGTAAAAATACATCTGGCTTATAATGGCTTTTATAAGCAGCTTCATATTTAGGCAGGATGGAGCCTGTTGACAGTGAGGGGAGTACATAACGTATGATCTTGGTGATAAATGTTTCCCTGAAGTTTTCTTTTTTTTTAAAGATTTATCTTTGGGCTTTTGGTTTCTTTATTGAAGCCCAAGCCGCCTGCTTAGAGAACTACAGCCTCTGTACGTGGTGTGCGTGCACTAAACACTACGCTACTGGCACCCATTTTACTGAAGTCTTCTTTAAGTAAACAAACGAAGATTTCAGGAACAAAAACATTCAGAGAAAAAAAAAGTGTTTTTCGCATTACCTCATACTGGTACACCAGTATGTGCTTCCCTGTTTACATGTGGATTGTTGCTTGATCTATTCTTTTAATGTAATGATTCTACTGTGAACAATGTGTGCAGCACTGGAGTCCAAGACTATTTCCCCCCAGGACACTATAAAGTGGATGGTGCTGCATTGATTGGAAAGGGATGGTTTTGTTGGTCTGTTTTCTTAACGGCTACACCTCTTTATGTGAAGATTCCTCATGAAGTGTTTTGAATGTGCCAAACCCTTTTGTTTCACATTGCTCTAGTATGCTGCACACTAAAGTTATAATTCAACAAAGGTCATTAATGACTTTTCCAGGAAAGGCAGAGAAAGAAATGACGACACACACCATCCCATTGCTCACCTCAGCTGTAACAGGAGACGTTATCGATAAAGTTGTCAATAAAGTTGTCAACAAAGCTTAGAAACGACATTAATGACACAGTAAGCTTCACACTAGAGGGTGGAGTGCTTAATGAACACAGAGGGGAAATTAAACTTGTATAGGCATTTTAATGTGTAGATAATTACTCTGTGAAAGGTGACAGTCAATGTAAAGATCAATACAACGACAGAAAATACATTTTCAAAGTGACAAACATGAACATTTGAAACAGTTGATTATCTGACACAGGTGTCAGAGCAGAGCAGGCTTTCACCTGCACTTTGACATTTCTTAAACAATACTCAAAGCTGGTGCTCCATGAAGTCTGTAGAGTTAGACGAACAAAACAATGATATGAGGTCTAGGTCTATTGTATTGCACATACAGAGAAAAAGGCTTTTTTTTTTTCAAGTTTGCATACAATGATTTAGAAACGTCCCCAGAAGAACCATCGAACACACAAAAAAACGAGAACAGGCCCAGAAATAACCGGAAGATTGTGATTAGCTAGAACAGAGTGGAAAAAAGCCCAAAGACTGAAAAGTGTATAGAAACTTAAACATGTCCTTGATGTGATGAGCTGTGGCTCAGTTAGGTTTCACACTGATGGCTGCTTTTCATTCCCTCCATGAACAGAACTGCTTTGATATGAAGGACAGGAGCGGTGGATGAAAACAATGCACGCTGAAGTATTGTCCAGAAAGTCGGGGAAAACACAGAATATCCAAACTTTGCAAGGGACGATGCTGGCTTCATTTACAAATCAGCTCTCGATTCTCACCTGAATGTGAATATTATGGGATGTAACCCAGATCTGAAACTTACATGACTCTTTCATATTTTCTAATTTAAAGGTCACATATTATCCTCCTCTTCAACAAGTGTAAAGAAGTCTCAAAGCTCCCCATAACATGTGTGTGAAGTTTCCACTCTGATCCTGTATTTCATCATGCCAATAAACCTCTCTATTTCAGCCCTGTTCAGAACAGACTGTTTCTGTGACTGTAGCTTTAAATGTTAGTGAGCTGTATTTGACCACGCCCCTCTAGAGGGGCTTGCCCAATTGTTTACAGTGACAAGGCGGACTCAGAGGGCAGAACAAACACCTAGCTGTGGGAATGTCACCCACCTGGGGGAGGGGTTACTGCCCTTTGTGATGCCACAAAGGGAAAATCTCCAAGCAGCCTGTTTGAGCACACATTTTCTGAGAAGAGGAGCAGGGAAAAGATGGAGAGAATAGACTTTTCTCTTATTTGGGGGGTTTGCAGACAGACTGGGGACACACAAGTTTTTGAATACAATGGTAAAGTGTATTTAGCACAATGTGACCTTTAAACGACCAATATCTGAAATGTAAATGCCTCTAATGTGTTTACACGGAAGATGTAAACATGTTGCTGATGTGTTCATCATTTCAGTTTAGTGTGTTAGCATGCTAACATTTTAGTATGAATTAAAGTACAGCTGAGGATTTTATTAACAGGTTTATTTTGGGCCTTTCATGCCTATATTTTAGAGATAGGACAATAGATTGATTTAGAAGTCTGGGAGAGAGAGTGGGGATTATATATATATCTGTCTGGCTCCATGGGATCTTCACCCTGGGTCAATTCGAGGTAATTTTGAAGGTGGCTGACATGTTTGAGTCCGCAGGCAGAAGCTGTGGTTGGTGACAAGCTCTCCATCTATGTATTACGTTCAGCTAGAAGGCCAGTGTCAAACTGAGAAACACATAACATAGCTTGTGCAAAGAGTAACTGTGGGTAGTAACTTGACTTTTGAAAGGTAAATCTTTATATATATAATCATTATTTAATTTATCTAGTCCTATATTCTACCTAAAGAATTCACCTAAGAACTATTTAAACACTTTAAAAGCAGGGTGTTTTATTGTTGCTTCACCATGCTTTTAGTCTTGAGAGCAGCTACAAACCACAGCCTTTCCTTTACAGGTTAAAACATATACTAGAACTTAAAGTTAAGATCTTCAGATACATTAATAACGTTGCTTGTTATCAGAAAAGGCTATCACAAATCCACCTCACTCTCCACTCACATCTGAAACTGTTGCTTTGACTGACTTCCAGCTAATTAAAGGGGCACTATAGGAGTGAAGTTTTTCACTTTTAAAAAGTTGGGTTCATTTTGAGAAAATGATCAAAACAAGTACGGGGAAATAAGACCCTGCAGAGGCCAAAATATGCTGACAGTTAACCCCTTATGAGGGCATGCTGGGACGGGATAGAGTCAGAGCCTCCCTGGCTGCTGATGTTAGCTTCAAATGTGTACATGTGTCTTTAATGACATCAACATCACATCATCAGAGTTATGTTTTCAGGAACTAGAGAAACAACAATATATCTGGTAGGAGTCTCAGTTTTCTGCTCATCCCACTGAGAATCTTACAACTTTTACAGTCTTCAGCTCATTGTTCTGGTTCATCGACCATCCCCCAAAAATGAAAAGAAAAAACATGTAGTTGTTAAACACGTGTCATCCGCCTGCTGGTGAAGAAAGTCAAACATTATCTCAACAAATGTAACAGAAATGTTTCGATATTAACATGACATGAGAATGAATGCTGGATTGACATTTATCAGCTGGAGACAAAAGAAAAGGGGGAGACCCAGCCCTGAACTACATCTATCAGAACTGTGTTGCTGCCCCCTAGTGGTCTAGTGATTATAAAGTGGTCAACAATGCAGCTTTTAATACCATCGTTTTTTGCATTTTCCTAGAGTGTATGATATGATTGAATGCAGAGCTATGACCAAGGAAACAGTCTTGTCTATGTAAGCTACGTCAAACTGAAATGTATCACGTGGGCCGAATATATATTCTTTTTGCCCAAAAACAGACACACACACAGTCACACAACACACACACAGTCACACAACACAATACACACTAACAAGCATCCACACAATAATTCTCTTCTCTGCAAGAGTCATGAAATCATTAAAAAAAGGCAGCAATAATAGCTTGGATCCATTTCAAAGTTCCTGAATTGAAAAAATACAGAAGTCTTAGTCTAAACCAGCGTCTTTCTGGACATTAACCCTTTTTTTTTGTCTTGTAAAAAGGCACACAAACTACCACAAAAGTATAGTAATATTCGAATGTGCAAAAAAAGCTCAGTTTATAATATTTCCTCAATAAAAGAGAGACAAAAAGAGTTCAGTTTCTCCCTCTCTGCTCCCCCTTCTTCTGTTTCTGTGGATAAAAAGATTGCAGTGCCGAGTCCATGGGCATCATAGTAGTGATGTGCTTTAGAACCAACACAGACACCCACCCAGCAATACTTCCCTTGGCACTTGGTTAGTGTCAGTGCAGATACAGGTGAGAGTCAGAGGCCTGGATGTGCAGCATGATGTGCAGCATGATGTGTGTGATTGGAAGGCTGCACAGCTTCATGATGAGCTTCTGTTGGGAGATGGTTCAGAGAGAAAGAGGACGGCTGTTTTCAGAGATCGTGTGGAGACTGGATTCACTAGAACAACAAACCCAGCAGACTCACACAGAGAAAAGGTACATGACATGTGGTAGATGAAAGAAAGCAGCACTTCTAAGTTTCTCCCTCATGTTTTCATTCCAGATGAGTTCCGTACCTTCGCAGTTTGATTCATTTCAATAAAAGTAGCGGTGTAAAAAAATCCAGCAATTGGAGGCACCTCTGGTCTTTGTTTTTTTTATCTCTGCCATTCTACTCACAACACACTGCACGTTTCCCTCCCTCTATCCTCTTATCTTTCGATTATTCAGAGGCGGGAGTGGAGGCAGCGGTGGTGGTCGGCGACTGCTTGGGGGTTTGGAGGGCCTGCGGGTTGACGATGACCTGGATGACAAAGTCCTTCTGGATCTTGGTGTCCTGCAGCCGTGTCTTGTCCGTCAGCAACTTCCCAGAAAAGAACCAGCGCTGGTGAGTGGCGTCGAAGTCCTCCTGAGCCTGGAGCTGCTTCTTCAGCTGCCCTATGGTGTCGGCCATGCTGGCGCTGAGGCGCAGGTCTTTACCCGTGGAGAGCCGCACCTAAAAGAAGAAGAAATATTATAACAGTTTGAAAGCAGTAAGAGTCGCAGGCAAAGTGTATCTCTGGTGGAAAATATGAACTTTAACCTTTAGTACTGACTAGTAGCATTCAGACTGATATGACTTATATAACACAACAACAAACTATTTCAAAATAAACTTAAAGAACATGTATGTGTAGGGCAGGTCTGGACATTATAACCGGCCCGCTGGCCCGGATGAATGATTGACAGAGTCCGGGCCAGCTGATTGCACGTTCAGCTGGCCCGCTCGGGACAGTTAAAATACTGCCTGAAAAGAAAAATAGACTCAATTTCACAGCGCTTTCCTGTCATACCGGTGTTTTGTCAGTCATTTCTTTTAAACGTTGCGCTAATAACTGCTACAGCATCAACATATCATAAGCGCTCGTGCACGCGCTTGTGTGTCACAAAGGCAGCCTACCGCAAACGCGCTCGCTACTCTCGAATTGTGCACTCGCACACAGATTTTAGCGCAGGTCTTAAAACCATCAGATCCCAACAAAAGTCGAGCTTAAATCAGCGTTCAAAGGAAAACAATCACCGGAAGAGTTGAGAGTGACAGCAGGGCATGACGAAAACAGAACGGAGAAAAGTTTGAGCCACAATGACAGACAGCTGGAACATGTTAAAGTTTAAGACTAGATTCTGGTAAAGATAAAAGTTATTCACAAAGCATAATAGCCCTTAAGAGAGCTCTAAGATCTAAGGATGTTTATGAACATAAATATATGAAAAATACTAAATATTTTTATCATTAGAGCTCAATTAATTAAATAAAAGTTGTAATTTAATCTTGCATCAGAATGGTTCAAGAGTAAATTGGTGACTATTATTTTTCGAATCAAAAGTAACATTCCTGGGCCAGCGGCTACAATGGTCGGGCCAGTGATCTAAGAAAACCAGTGGCCCGGAGGGCAAATTTAACTTAATGTCAACCCCTGTGTAAGGTTGTTATGATTTTGGCGCCCCCTGTGGACAAAGCGTCACATTTTGTGCTGCTGATCTTGCCCTGTATGTGCTCGTATTGTTTTTCGTGATTTTAAAAAGATCTCATCCTTTCTTTTAACAGTCGAGTCTAACACAGAATATTGCTGGGGAAAACACCAACAAAGACTGTTTTGGCAGAATGCTTTAATTCACACACAAACAATGAGCAAAGTCAATAAAAATAAAATAAAATAAAAAAAACATGAAGAGCTATATTTTTGCTGTACCTTAAGTTGGAATTCCTTTTTGGGGGCCACAGGGGGTTCGGGGCTGTCACTTGGATCTTCGTCGCTGCGCTCTGAGATGAGGTTGACGGGTGGAGCCAGACAGTAGACGGGCAACTGGTAGCGGTTCCCAAGTTCATCATAACACTCTGCGAGAGTACCTGGAGAAGGGTGTTAAAGAAATACGGACAAAGTTACCATTTAAAATCTTCTAATAGAGAAAATAATTGCTAATAATGATTAGTCAGTGTGTTCTGTCCCCACCATGTGGCAGTGTGATGCTGGCTCCGTCCACTATGGCTTGGGCCAGCTCATGGTCGTTACACTCCAGGGCTACAGCTGCAGCTTTCAGGGCGTCCCAGATCTCCTTGCGGCCCTCGAAGGCCGGGGCCGTGTCCCAGAATTCATCCCGCTTGCTCCGCAGCTGGCCCTCCGTCATGGGATAGTCGCTCTTCCACTTGGGACGTTCTTTCTTCAGAGGTTCGTTCCGTCCTGTGACGAGAAGGAGCAGAGAGGGAAGATCAGGCCTGGGGTTTCTTCTGGTTGGGACGGACAACAACAATTGTTGTACCATTCTAAATCTAAAGCTCTATATTTCTTAAATGTTGGCAGAAATGTATTTTTTCAAAAGCGATATGTCTTAGCTTGCTTAGGTCTCCATTTTCAGTGTCACCAGTGGATTCTTGTGTACATCAGAATATAAAGTATCAGCAAATTATTGATTGATGAATCTCATGATGTTCCCATATGAATCATACCTGACTGGACCATACCTCTTGAAACTCATAAACAAGCCGCAGAGAGAAACGTTAACCGTTACCAGAGACAGAAATCCCACCTCACCCCACTCTCTTATCCAGATCTAAAATTAGGAGGTCATTCAGAGTTTGCAATATGCATGAAGCATGTGTAGCCTAAATCTGTCTTGTAACTTTACCTGTGTTTCCTGACATTCAATATTAACATCACACCTTGGCCAGGAGAGCACTTATACAAGTGGCGGAAAGAGGGTCACGCACAAAGACAATACGCTAGAACCAGATGAGAAAACTAACACATCTGAACATAGGTCAGGAGTAAAATATCAAAACATTTCAAATCTGCAACTTGTAGGCAACCAAAAACCATCAGCAGCAGATCTTCTTCCCAGTAGTTCTTTAACAGGAAACGCTGTGAATCCAGTTTAACAACATGCTAACGTCACGGCTGCCAATTACCGCCACTTTAGTTTATATTTACAGACGCTTGCCAAGTACTTTTAAGAAAAAGTTTAGTCTGAGCTTATATTTACAAAAGTCTGAGAGGCACCAGTCATTGATGTAAACGAAGAGCAGCACAAGAGGAGACAGCAAACATCCACAGGGTTGCATTTCTTTCAGGCTAATTATTTATAGAGCAGGAGCTTAGGAGGAGTAACTTGAAGGATGTGAGGTGGTGTAGGATTATCACTTGAAGGGGAGTGAATCCTTCAGTAGATCAAAGGGGACTCCTCGCCACAACCCAGGTGGACACCGAGGTTAGAGGGCAACATCTACTCTATAGTATAAGACAGTCTAGTGTAATTGTTTGTTCTAATATGGATCTTAACTAGAGAAATATATTCACATGGAGTCCAAGATGACATCATCAAATATCTTTTTGGGTACAATCAATAAAACTCCAAACCCAAAATGTCCTCACTTTACTTAAATATTGTAATTATGGAGCGCTGTGTAGTGCCATAAGTGTGTTTTGTCTCAAAGGGAACCCACACTGTAGGCTCCTCAGCTTTGGTACGTGACATTTGTTGCCTTTAATTGTGATGCAATCCCTTGAAATACACTGGTACCAGTTTTGCAATATGTTCTATTGCAACACAGAAGCAGAAGTGACTCTTTCTTTTATAGCAGAGATGTAAAATACTAAAGTTTCCAGGTGCTGCATGTTGGGCTTTGTTACATTTGTACAGTTTGCCATGCTGCTTCCACCTATTAGCAGGCACTTCTGTGGCTCGGTCGGCAGAGCCTGTTGTCTCGCAACTGAAATTTTGGTAGTTCAATCCCCTGATCCTGCAGTCATATATGTCAAAGACGCTGAACCCCAAATACACAATCAGCATGTCAATGCAAGCGGATGGAAAAGTAGTGTTGGGCAGTTTGACACTTCATGTAGTAGCAGCTTCTGCCATTAGTTTGTGAATATGGTTTCTATGGGTGAAGACTAAAAGAGTGCTAAATCTAGTAGTATCAGCACAAATCTGTGATAACGATACCAAGCCACTTCATATGCTAATATCGGCCGACATTATCAGCGGCCGAATAATCGGTCGAGCTCTAACTTACAGGTTAGCATTAAATCTTGATATAATTTCCCTATTTCAGATTCTTCTCTGTAGATCAGAGTGCAGGAGATTTCAAATTGAATCAGGTATTTTTTTCTATATCAGAGCAGGTGAGAGGGGGGAGCTTGTGAAGGGAGGTTTCTTGTGATGATATCGCATAACAAAGAGTGCAGAATAACATCAGCAGCAACAAGCTTCTTGAAACAATTAAAACAATGACATTAGAAGGTTCATAACAAGACACGTGGCACCACAATCAATGGAGAGACCCAACAGCAGATGTCTCTCTCTCTATCTGATCACCCACAGAGCACACTGACGCTACTCGCAAAATGGATTTGAGCCGTACAATGAAGCTTGCTCATTAGTTTATTGAACTTTGATGGTGATCAGAGAGGTATACAAAAGCAAAATAGAGTGCAAGTATACCTAGTCAGACGTAAATATCCCTGGGCGGCCTGCCCAAGTAGATGATGTTCGGGAATCACTTTCATGGATACTTAAAGTCTCATAAATCAACTTTTCAGGTTGGAAAATTAAGAATTCCGGATAAACCAGGAAGAATCACATCTCTGATTATATCAATCACTGCAGAATGGCTGTATTGTGATGTTATTGTTATCAAGCCACGTATTGCATATCATATCCTATCGAGAGTTACCCTGTGATTCCCAGCTCTATTAGCAATCCTACAATTTCAGCCTCAATCTTTCAATGCCTCCCGAGAGCTCCGACTGGTTATCTCTCAGCGACACATTTATGTGAATATTGTCGTGTTTGTGTCGGTCATTCCAGATGTGTTTGTTCACCACCTTATTTGCCTCTATGAAGGTTTATTCTCTGGTGGGCCCACTGCCCAACAGACCTGTAGTATTGCTTAATATGTAAATTATGTAACCTGAAACTTGTTTATTATGTTTATTATGAATATTATGTGTTCTGAAGAGCTGAAATGCATAGCTCAGGACTTTTGACAGAATTCATCAGAAGAAAGGGTGAGGTAGAGCTAGAGCAAGACGCCGAGAGCTGGAAGTGAACCGAACTCTTCAACGAGAGAAAATGACTGACCAAAACCCCCGACTTACAAACTCGAGGTTATGAGAAAACACTGACACAGATATTCAGGCAATGCACTTTGAAAACATGAAGCAATATGAGGGTGTTTCCCTCCAGCTGGGCTCATAAAAGCAGGTGCCATGTGATGGGGCTATCATATATCCCGTTCATTATATATGTGTTGATAAAGTGTGTCATAAACAAGAAAATCTCAGAGTTGTTCAAGAATGACCTGCTCCTGGGGAAACCATCCTCAGCTGTGATAATATTGCTTTGGCTCTGTGAAGACATTTCACAGCCTCCAACATTCTCCAAACATGACGCACGTCAAACATTTGGGGTGTGTTCAACTTTCCCTCTTAAAAGCAGACATAAAAGAACACGTCTGGAGCATATCAATGAAGGGGAAATGCACTCTTTACCAGACACAGGCTGACTTCATACTCAGGATGTAAGCTCAACCAAACACATGCAGTCTCATCCTTGTTGGTGGTTATCTTATCACAACAATGTCCATTCAGCTTTCTGCACCTACAGATAAGGTACTCTACACACAGACAGACTTTTGTAGTATACATAATGTTACTTCTAGAACTTTTTCACCAGACAAGATGAAAATGGAATGTGTCCTTTCGCTAATTTCCGCCAACCATCACTGCACAAAATGTTTCAAAGAACTGATACAACTGTTAACCTTTGATGGACTAAAAAGACCTTTAAATTCTCCATTGGGTTTAGTGAATATAGAGCGCAGATTGCCCCCCCCCCCCCCTTCGCATTCCCCCGCTGGCCTGCAGTCACACTGCTCTAGGACTAACCGGGCCTCAGCAAACCAGCAAGGTTACCTCTTGTACAAAACACTTACCACTTTAAGTGATCATGAAGCTTGCTATGTTTACTAAACAGCAGACTGAAAAATAAAGGGAAGCGCGGTCGAGTCTGCGTCCACACATCAGAGAACAACAGAGAACAAGAAAGGAACTGTACTAACTTTGTGGCTTATTTTGAGTCAGATACAGCTATAACACTCAAGGATTCCTTGATAATGAAGGCCGTCCTCATGTCTTGCCCGTGCTTGTGCATAAAATGTACCGTGCTGAAGCATACCTCTGACATCCTTGCCAGAGCCTAGGAAGTGTAACAGGCTTGAGCACGGAACAGAGCACTCTTTAGGGGTGGACTTTAGGGGTGACGTGTGCTTCGGCACAGTACAGATTGGCTATGAGTGTGTCCTAAGAGCTACAGCTGCCATAAATGGGATGTGGTTAGACACGACTTTTGTTATAATCAGAGGATGTCATGCTTCATAGCTTCCAACCATCCAGACTTCCTGTCTTACAGACTGCTGATGTTTTGCAGAGCTTCTTTAATTTTTCAGCATTACATTGGAAATAAAGCTGGACACCATAGAGGCTTATGAACATGTGTCTTCAAAGTAAGCTCATTTGCTAAATGTTCGGTTCAATTACAAGTTTTTTTCTCCAGGTAAACCCAACACTCAAGGGGTCTGACTCATTTCACTAATGTGTTCCTCACTTGTGTCGCTCCCTCCAGTCTTAACGCCTCCCAGCAAAGAAACTGACGCCAGGAAGAGACACGGGGAGGGATGAGAGGAATCTGCCAAATGAGAAATCTTTCACTTCACAGCATCAGTCTGACACAAAGACTGCAAAAGACTTCCGGAGAAACATCAGTGTATAGTCGCTCAGAGCTCCTCAAGGAGCCTCCACTCACCTCGTCTCGCTCATTTAAGGAATTGGAAAATAGTTCCTTATTAGGGAAAATGATTTCAGGGTCAGTCAAGGAGAGAGGACGCGAGAATGTGCAAATTAGTGGAATGGTTTAGTTTCTGGCAAACAACCTTTGATGTATATCTACTGACCAATCTGTATATTTCTCTTCTCATTCAAAAAGTGGAAAATGGGACTCTTAAAGCCAATTTCCACAGAGTCTGTGCGCACTGTGTTCCATCGCGTTTGGTATGGCGAGCGCCCGTCTGGGTCAGTTTCTGGAGCGTGAGCGCAGCGGTAACAACATTCAAACAACAGTTAGTTTGGTGCCTGTTTTGATGTTATATTGATAAAGTGATCAAAAATAAGAACATGAGTCTGTATATTGTGTTTTATTTTGAAATTGACCATAGCGTTTCCTTGTCCGACTTCATCTATTCTGTACAGCTTGACGCACTATATATAATCATATTCCAGCCTGTAATCAATGTACACGACAATACAAAACTATGACGGCTGCTGTCATCCAAATGTAAGGACATCTTTCTATGCAGGGAAACCTGTATTTCATATTGTGAAGATCTGATTAAAATCTCAGGAGCATTCTTTTGTACTTGTCCTCCTCATCTCACATGGCGGTCTGTCAGAACGAGGGTGTGTCAGGCAGAGAAGATACAGTCTGATTAAAGAAGCCAGTCAATGCCGCAGTGGGACATGATGGGACTTGTTCTTTCTGATCGAAGCCTGGCCTAGCTTGTAGTGTCTTACGAATCAGGGCGGGGAATTGCAACCAGAGCCAGAAACCTGGGACTCTTTGCTGTAATGGCCTTAACTTCAAATATTGGCATCACTGGCAGGTAACAGAGACAGACAAATGGTTATGAATATCAAAATCTGAACTAGATGTTCATTTTGGAATGCGGCCCCATGGCCAGGGGTGAAAGGGGCTCCCGAAACTTCCCTGAAGCTAATGAACAAAGCTGGACTTCATCTTAAAATGTTCTGCAATAGTTCTGATTTACACTTGAGACTATTTCTGCTGGGAAATAAAGGCTGACAAATTTTCCATTAGTACAGTCAGCGCAAACAAAGAGGACAAATCGTGAATCCAAATAAAAACCAGATCCTTAAGACTCCTAACAGTCACTTCAAAGGGAGCTTCAATGTGAAAATAATGCAAACAAGCTGAAAAGTATTGGTGTAACTGTCTGGTAACATAGATCAAGTATCTGACCTCAGCAGAGATTTCACCAAATCTCTGAGGAGCCCACAAATAGTTTCCCACCACCCTGAGTTATTTCATAAGCAAATCAATTAATGTCCAATCTGTAGTCATATGATGAAAGTGAAGACCCCATATATCACTCAACCTATAAAAAGGTCATGCTGAAAATCACTGACATTGTTGTCTTGTGTCGAAACTATGCAGAAATTTGCCAACTCAGCTGTGCGACGCCCGGTCACTCAGTTTAGTCTGGCTGTAAATGAAACATTTATTCTTGCTAAGTGCTGAAGCAGCGATCCAAATTCTCTCTGTCTCTATCAGAGACAAATGTAAAAAGAAGAAAACGTGGCAGTTTGCCCGTGTTTATCTTCAGAGGAATGTTATCTTCTGGGAAGGTAAGTCATTACTGGACATGACCTCAAGTTCCTCTTGTAAACAAGGAACATATCTGTCATATTTGGAATCAATGTAACCTCAACTTCAGTGTTGCTATTCAACTTCTGCTTGGTGGCTAACTCCCCATTTAAACCACACTGTGGTAAAGTGATCAAAGGGTTACGATCACATTTAAGATAGAATTCAGCACAGCAAATTTAGCTTTGCAGAATTGGATGTGAGGCTTGAAATGACTGGGTTGAGGAAACTGCTTGACCTTTTATACACATGTATGGAAAACGCTGTTTTTAGGGGAGGTGCATTTGGCAGTATTCAGTGAGAGTGGGTCTGCAGAATATGCCCTGGTGCTCAACTTAATAAACACAAGTTAGTAACACATTCTGTGTGCTGGCAAGTTCGGCAAATACTCCCAAGCAGCGAGAAAAAGCAGCTGACCAGTGTATTGTCCTGCAGCTATCACACACACACACACGCACGCGCTCTGTGCTGGTTGGCTGAAACCAAACAGAACACAGTTGAAAGTGCATTTTGGTTACACATACCACTAAGAATATGACCCCAGCAATCAGACAGACTGGCTATCCAAACTCCCCCAAAAGGCAATATTGTACCAGTTTATGTCCTTCTGCTGTATTGGATGTTGACAGTTCTTTCTGCAGACACTGCAGATTTACAACATGACTCACTACCTAAATGAGAAAAACGTCTGTATACATATTTTTCCAAGCGTGCTAATATGCAGATGTATGCAGGGAATATATAGTATGCACTGGGATGAATCCCTAAACAACGACCACCCGGAGTGATGTACCAAAATAGTCCTCAGTTCACCTGTTCAGCAGTATACAGACAAACAAGGGTAAACAAGGAGGTGAAACCCAATCACAACGTGTCACTTGAGATGCATTTGAGTCCAAAGGAGAGAAGAAGGAGTGGATATTGAGAGTCTTTATCATCTCTAGTGCTGTTTTGCACATCGATGTGCACTAACACTTAAATGTGGTGTGTAAATGCTAAAGATAAACTTTATTGATCCCCCATGGGGAACATTTTTGCGTTACAGCAGCTCAAGAAAACAGGAAACATGAATATAATTATTAAAAATAAAAATAGAAGTTAAAAAAATCAAACATATTTACATCAGTTAAATAAGAATACAATAATAGAATATTACACGGTATCTACACTTCCACTTGTGGAAAGAGTTATTGTAAATTGTAAGAGTTAAATAAATGAATGCATGGAATATATGTAGAAAACAGCATATGTGTGTGTTAAAATAAAATAAAAATCAAGATAAAGTGAAGCACGTCAAATATACACACACTTAATGAACAGTCTTTACTTACCCCCTCGTCCCCCGTTCCTGGACGAGCCTCTGCTCTGGGTGTCCTCCCAGCCTTCCCAGTATCTCCCCACACATCCTCCCATAGTTAAAGGGCTGCTGATTGTTTCCACGCGTTGTACTAGCTGAACTGGGGGCCCATTACTGACGAAGGCGATTAACTAGGTCCGATGGGTAGGAAGGGTCCTGATCGACCTGATTGATCATCTGTAGAGGCACACAGTGGCACTGAGCTGATCACCTGAAGCACCGTGGCCCGCAATAACCTTACAAGAGTTGGATAGCCAAACCAGTAAGCCGGTGCAACATCTACCGAACTTTTTCAACTGTTAAGAGATCTCCGGCAGCTTGTCAGCTCTCTTACTTTGTAAGTTAAGATGAACGAGTTGTAAAAGTTGATGTTCCGCAGCTGAGACACGGCGGACCTACCTCGCTAACAGGCTAGCAGGGCCACTAGCTAGCTACCACATCAATAAACACAAACTTCCGCGCACTCGTGGTATTTCTCTGGCGTTGAGTTTCTCCATTATGTAGTGGATAGATACCGTTTCCAGCAGCCATTGGGGCACCAACTCAAATCTGTAACAATGCTCCCCAACCCCCTTTCTTTAAACCCCCCACACGTTACTTCCCTCTTTGTAAACTAGCGGTGAAGCTAGCGCCACCGAACTTTTTTTTTTCACGCCTGCGCACAAGCGAGCAGTCAGGTGTTGGGTTCTCTGACGTCAGGCGAAAAGCAATAATGAATGGACGAGACGACACATTAATTCGACACCGAAGAAGGTTTCATATAGTTGTATATTTACAACCATGGATATTAGTCGTTAACATCAATATAACAACACATGGCGCAAAAAGAGAGAGCGCACGTAAAGATAATAAGATAATTCCACTTCTGCTACGTGAAGTCTTTCCAATTTTGGGGAATTCAGACAGCACCTGAAGGCAACACCAAAAACTCCAACAAAAATGTAGTTTTCAATCTAAACTTTGGCATTATATTGTCTATCATGTAGCATACACATACTTAATTTAACACTGCGATGTCCCTTTGCCGTCCTATTAATAAAAAGGTTTACGTAAAAATAGGCACTTTTACGTTTCACCCATAAACTTTTCGCGCATGCGTGCTCTGGTGAAACATGGGCACGATGGCTGCGGACAGTGCCTTGCTCCTGTCTCTGGTGGAAGAATATGTCTCGGGACTACAGGACAGCAAGGCCAAAGATACTGCAACAGGTAAATAAGACTTTGTGTTTTTCTTGACACTTTTTCAGAGTAGTTCGTTGCAAAGAAAACATCGTAGTGGCTGCTGAGCTGCCGCTTCAAAGGATGCGCAACACAGCATGATGGTGAGCGAGCTAACTTAGCGCCACAACATCCTGTGTGGTGTTACAACCTCATTATAAGATGCGGATACGCTTTGTGACAATAGTCTGCTCATATTTTCACAAGAGCACCACACATTTAATGCATCCCAAGTGTTTTACGGTACTGTCATGTAGACTATTAAAGTGAATATTGATGCAGTGTGGTGTCCCTGCATGCAGCTTGCTAGCTGCTGTATTTGTTTCCGAGTAGCATCCTGTCACTGAACTCTGGACCTTTGAACTCCGCCGCCCCTGCTAGTTAATCTGTAGTTAACTACTAGATAGAGTTAAGTTTTGATCATGAGTTGTAACTTGTCAGAGATTGTATTTACAATTCACTAAACTCAGTTTTCTGTTCAGGTGTAAGAGATGGACTCTTCACAGTCCTGCAGCTGGTTGAAGCTCTGGGGTAAGATATCAACACTCTGCTATATACTCAGCAATAACATTAACAAAACTAAATATTAAAGATGCATTTCTCTCTCACTCTAAGTGAGTAGGCTTTTCTTTTAGCCAGTGTCACTCAGGTCAAATATTTTGAAAATGTCTACTTTCTTTTTTTTTTTTTTTGCTGACCTCTATTAATGGCACCCATTAATGTGAGCAAGTCTTAAATAAAAAGTTGATAAGGATTGTCATGTCTTTTCCTGTTGTAGCCTCAGTCTGACCAGCTCTCAGCCTCACACACGGGCCAGAGGCGTCCAGCTTCTCTCCGAAGTTCTACATGAGTGCCATGGAAATCTAACTGAGGGAGAAGGTACACTTTGTCTTTGTCCGTTTTTAAGAGATTGACAGATTTTCAATGCCATAAATATTACTTCCCTGACTATGGTTATAAAACCCTATATCTGTTAATAATAGGAAGAACTAAGGACATTAAGAAAGGATGGTGTTCACATGTAGTATATACATGAGTTATGTTTTGTCAACATGTCTTTGTGTCTCTGCTCTCCACAGTGGAAGTTCTCCTTGCCTTCTATGAAAACCGTCTAAAGGACCATTACGTCATCACACCCCCTGTTTTACAGGGGCTCAGAGCACTGGTTAGTGTTTATGTCTGTTATCTATGTTTTAGTGCCAACATCAGAAAGTTCCTTGATGAAATTGGCAAATGGCAAAGTGTCACGGTAGTTTGTGTTTGGCAGGTTTGGGAATCATTTTGAAAAAGTTCCAAACATGATTGCAATGGCACTAATGATCATTGTGTGTTTGTTTGTTTGTTATTTTTAGACAAAATGTACAGCGTTGCCTCCTGGATCAGCGGTGTCAATGCTGAGGTCTTTGTTCCAGGATGTTCATGTCCAGGTAATGATCGACTTTTTAGGATTCAGTGCAAAGTGTTAAAGTTGAACCTTAAGAGTCACATTATGTAAAATACATTTTTCTATGTTTTTCGAACACTAATATTTGTCACTAGTCTGTCAACAAACCCCCCCAACTATGAGAAAAGTCTGTCCTCTCCGTCTTTTGCCTGATCCACCTTTTAGAAAACGTGCTCAAACAGGCCGTTTGGAGATTTAGTAACCCCTCCCCCAGGTGGGTGACACTCCCACAGCTAGGTGTTTGTTCTGTCCTCTGAGTCTACCTTCTCCTCGGAAACAATAGGGCATGGTACAAGTTAGCCCAAACCACCCAGAGCCTTCTAGAGGAGCGCGTTCGAACACTTGTATCGTGTTGTATTTAAAGCTAAAAAACAAAACAGCCTGTTCTGAGTGAATCTGAAATAGAGGGGTTCATAGGCATGATCAAATACAGGATCGGAGTGGATTTGTAGCAAAAAACTTCATGAACATATTTTAGGGACCTCTGAGACCTGTTTAAACTTCTGTAAAGGGAGTGAAATATGTGACCTTTAATGTACTTCTTAGAAAGTATGTTATTGTCAGATGAACATGCAGCTTATGTGTAGCACTTGAAAGTGCTGTTTACTTTTTCTGTAGCTAGAAAGACAACCAATCAGCTGAAAGAAAAGTAGTTTTTGTACAGGATTGCTTAATATTCATCTGCTGTAATTGGCCAGAGGTTAAAATGCACATCAGTAGACCAGCAGTGCATCATTAACTGACATACTGTCTCATGAATTCTTGTATATGAACACACACAGGCATTCTTGTTCTTGTTTTCTTCATGATATAGAAATATGTTCCCTTTTATAAAATATGCTTAGCTGGTAAACTTGACTTATCTTAATCTTTCTCAAACGTTCCCATTGTGGGTAAAAAGCTGACTCAGCCTGTTTGTTTTCTTCCAGTCTTTGATGCTGTCAGAGAGAGCGTGCGTTTACAACATGCTCATCAACCTCATGGAGAGCAGAGAGGCCGGTAAGACATAGCAGAATGAAGATAGAGAGTGAGTTTTGGATGCTGAAATCTCAGCAGTCGGCTGACTAATCACAGAGGTCTTCTGGCTGTGTAGTATCATCTGAGCTGTCACACCTTCTGCTTTGTTTGAGAGGGAGGAATGATTTTACACAGACAAACTGAAGGATGCAAATAGAGAAGTGACAATGAAGTGTTTGTGTGACCACTACCCTGTCTCTCCATTTGAGGGTGTTAAACAATGGTCCCTTTTATGTACAAAGATTTAAATGGAAATGAAGGCTCTATGCAACTGATAAATCCCCTTCAGACAAATATTTGCTTGCTGCTTGTGATAGATTTTTTTTTTGTCCGTTTTTATGCAAAAAAATAATTTCCTTTTCAGTCAGGCTTCATTGAGATATAAGGGGAAGAAGTTCCAATGATTGTGGTGTCATATTTTCTCAAAATAATGAGCAAAGTCGATTACTAGAGCTAGAAACCAATCCTTGTGTTTCTGTTTGATGTGTAATCAGAACTGAAAGGTTTGGGTGCAGACTTTGTGTTTGGCTTCGTCCAATCAATGGACGGAGAGAGAGATCCTCGCAATCTCCTATTGGCCTTCCAGGTGGCCAACAACATCATCCATCGAGGTTATGATCTAGGTGAGAATACACACGGGTGCACACACACACAGACGCACATACAGCATCTTTCTCTTTGTTGTCTCCTCCTCTTCTTAGAACTCTGTCATTAATTATTACACAGTTCAACATGCGTCTGTTTGTCCTCCCTGATTTCATTTCCTGTCTGTCGCCCCAGGTAAATTCGCAGAGGAGCTGTTTGAGGTGACGTCCTGCTATTTCCCCATCGACTTCAGCCCTGTGAGTCCCTGTTTACTCAGCTGCTTGTGTCTGAGAACTGACGAAAGCACTGAGGGCAGCAGACAGAAATGTCATCACTGACTTCCTGTGACCTCGATACAACAATAACACAGAGTCTGTCTCTTTGTCTGCATGTGCACATTTCCCATGATGCACATGACGGGATCACGGCTCTGTGATTGTTTGTCTGCTCTCTGGAACAAAGCAGACACCAAATGCTACCAATATAACGTGCGATATGATTACTTCCATTTATATGACATAATGACCAATCATGTCCTCACTAGACAACATATCCAAAGACATCACAGACACTAGGTTTGTAATTTAAAGTGTCATCCTGTTATATAGTAAAGCTTCTCTCTTATATATCATGTCCAACAATAAAACAGGATGACATGACACTTTAAGAGCAGAAATACATTCATTGCCAGTTTCCACATAGTCCGTGCACGCCACGGTCTGTCAGCGGCGTTCGCTGCCACTCTAGTCAACGCTCCTGTTTCCACAGGAAGCGCCGCAGCCCGTCTCCAGAGCGTGCCAGCAGCAACACTCCACCACGCTTTGCTTTGTTTTAAATACGCTGCGAGTCTATTTTTTGACGGAGTAAGCTGCACGCACGTGTCAAGCTGAACAAAATAGAACAACATCAACACAGCATCCGGTCAATTTCAAAATAAAACACAATGTACAGACTGCTGATCGTATTTTCCATCAGTTTATCAAATTTAGGTCAGAACAGGCTCCAAACAAACAATACATCATCCTCCAGAAAGACAAAAGCAACATGTTGTTTGCATGTTTTTTCTCTTGATTCCCGGTGATCTTCTAGTTCACCTGTGATGTGTGTACAGCTGATCATGGCTGTGCTCCCTCTCCAGAAACAGATCCAGTGGGGCAGGGCACTCGCTGTCCGACACAAACTGTGGCACTGACAGACCGCAGCTCACATAGACTGTGTGGAAATTGGCAATCGGGCTTCCTCTTATAAAATGTGTCTGACTGTATTTCTGCACTCTGGAGGTTTTTGAGTGTCTGCTGCAGAGAAGCTATCAGAGAGTTGAAGTCTTGACTCATAATATGATGGAAAAGAACATTTTAGAAAATGTAAATCATCAAGTCGGCAT